AGGAATGGTATTTTCACTGTATTTCATTTTATCAAATGTGGTGTACAATAGGTAGTTTATATACTACAACCGAACAATCTAAAGAAGGAAAAAAATGTCCTATAAATCTGTCAGCCATAAAGTCCTAAAATTATTCTTCTAAATCATCATAGGTCAACTATGATACAAATCAATCACAATCTGGAATCATAATCAATCATACTCCGGGATTTCAACAAACCCCTGGCTTTCTCCCCTACCCAATTCCTCTCACATTCCATGATATAGCAATCATTTCGCTTTCGTTCCCCCGTGACCTTCCTCTTCCTTTTTCCTAGGTCCATAATTTAATCCCCACTCCAACCCCTTCAATTCTCTGTGTCCTTTTCTATCTTCCTTTTTCTTGAAAGCTTTCAGAGTTTTCCTCCCCCTTCCTCATTGTTGACGCTTGTTCTCTGGATTTTTTCCACCACCCTCTCTATTACCCTCCTTTCCTCCTCTGAAAATTCTAAAAAGAATCCGTGCCCAGTCAATTGGACATTCTGATAACTGACACGTGCATTTTGGACTCTCGGCTGCCACCTGTATATCACTTCAAAAGGACTAAATTTGGAGAGGCTCTCCATTACTTATGGAACTCTAATCTCGAAATTTCCTGCCACTCTTTTCGTTTCCATGGAAACAACCTCAACAAAGTCTGAATTATTTTCTGAATTCTTTGGATTTTGCAATTGAACCCCCCCGACTGAAGGAAAAAAAATTACGGTTTAATACCTAGTTTTGATTTAGAAGATCGTTCGCATACTTAGATTGAGAGTCAATCCCCTTCTTCTCCATCTCCAAGAGTGTAGCTGCATCTTGCAAGATTAATTCCTCCTCAATTTCTTCTTGATCCTCAGAATCCATCTCTGGCACCCGACTTGTCTCCTCATCCGAAGAGTCACTTTAGGTTGCCAAATGGCAATTCAAGAATTGAACCTCTAGGTCTTCTCCTCCAAAATCTTCTATATCGCCCCAGTTTTCTTTTTCAGTTTCCAGTACCTGATTCTGCTTTCCGTTCTTTTTTCTCTATTCATAGTACTTCATCCCTGTAAAATTCTCGATTTCTCCTTGTAGTTCTCTCCTTAGGTTTGGGCTGGTTTTTTTCCTTTTGTTTTGAGAAGCAAACCAACCCATTCATAATTCTGCCTTTGAAGAATTCCTCACTTGGTTTAGGCTTGAATTTACAATTCCCTGACAGAGTTCTTTTTAGGGCCCATGAAGTTTAATTTAATCTAAATTAGCCCAAGTGTTTTGGGGCCTATTTTCTTGAGGCCCGCTCACCAACCCATCCCCACTAATAGCCCAATTAATTCCTTTTGAGCTAACCCATTTGTGGACTGGGCTCAGAAAGGATTGAGGCCCAATTTCAGCCATACCACCAGACACCACCTCTTCATCTTCCAATTCTTTCACGTCACTCTCCAACCAATTCAACGGATTAAATTTATTGGCTCTATCTCTGTCAACCGCCTCCACACTCTCTAGAATCACGTACAATTCTAGATTCCAACACCAACTCTTCATCTTCCCCACTCCCAAAATTTCCAGAGACAAGGATTTCATTATTATTTAATATCTCCGCCCCTTCACCTACATATTTCGAGGTATCCCTATGAATCTCTGACTCTTCATCTTTTTTGAACATACGCTGGTTTGCCACATGTCTCTACCACCTGAAACGCTCCACTGTGGACTAATCCTATTATGGGAAAAGCCACGTCATCATCTTCTCCCACCTTCATTGCTACGCTCCTGATGATCATACCTGAAGCCCCACCACCCTCCGAGTTGTATCTCAGATTAAACAGCCCTAAATGAATTCTTTCCCCATGACATGGTAGTTCTATTATGGGATCCATAAACCCTTCAGGAAAGCCTCGAATTCTAATCTTTGCATATCTAAGGAATGTTTGATTCAGCATTTACATCGGTGATTTCCAACGGACCCCCACATGCTTCGTCAATCACTTTGAGTATGATAATTCCACATATTTAATGGAAGTCCTTCCATACCTATCCAACTATTTCTAACCTCTATTTGGACGTGATCCCAATGAACATAGATACTCCATGGTTTTATTCTTGCCATGGACCTTCCATTCCATAGAATACTGGGTTCTGCTAGCAAGCAGCTTTTTTCTTTCTCATCACTACACCACAAGATGGCTCTGTCCGCTGCTAATGAAACCATCTCCGAGTCTTTGAATTCTACTCTCCAATCACTGTTGAATCACCCTCTAACTCGTATCCAACTTATTTCTATGGACCACCAATGCCAACTTCCAAGATTTCTTGACAATCTTTGTCTCTTGCCAAGAACATACGTTCTCACTCTTTTTGGCTACTTCATGTACTCTTACTGCCTCAGGTTTCTTAAAACTTCCTTCTTTTGCAAAGATTCCCACTGATTCATCTTTCTGGTTGCCCTTCCGGTTGAAAAGGCAGTGTAGACAATCATTAAATTTCACCCAACCACTCAGAGCATATTCGCCAGGAATTATTATATTCCTAATAGCTCCATTCTATATCTTCTAGATTTTCAAAAAATTCCCTGCCTTATTCTTGTTGGTTTCTACTATCACCCTATAGCTCTGCCCTATGTAGAATGTTCTGAATCCCCCATCTTTGCCTTGAACAATTGCTTCATTGACTGTTGCACAAAGCCATGATGCACCTCCCAAATCCACCTTGACAGAGAAACTTGCTACTCTATTTCTCTCAGTGATTTCAATCAGACTTCCTAAATAATCTAACCTAAGGATCAAAACTTTGTGTTTAGTTCTAAAATCCTGATCGCAATGTTTATACCTCATTTTGTAGTAAAATTCTAGAGAGTTCGAGGAGCTTCTCTCTCTAGAATTTTAGATGATGGCTTTTATATTAATGCTTCCTGAGGCACTAAGTCCAAGTGATTCACCACTGAGCCAACTGTTTGATCTAGGTGGGTCATTTAAATCTTCATATTTGTAGATGGGATCACTAAAATGCACAGGTACTAGCCCTCCATAGAATGAATGCGATGAGCAAAAATATATAGGCATTTTGACAATGATTGTGTTAAACTACTGTCCAAAAAACACGTTCGACGAGAAATTCTAAAATCCCAATTCAAATGTAATACATATCTTTCAATTCCTCATTTTTTAACCCCCTAAATCTAATAAAACATTTGAACAAATTTAGTAAAATAGGGCACATTGCAATTGTTTTACAAGTTCGAGAGGTTTGAAAGTTTGGTTCCTTTTGTGTGAGTGTGTCTGTTGGTGGTGGGGGGGGGGGGGGGGGGGGGAAGACCAACAGGAGATCAATTCAACTAAACAACATTTAAATGATTTGACTAGAGACAGCCCAACCCATCTTCAAAATGACATTGTATAACACAAAAATTCAACTGATTGGCACCCTAGACTCCATTTGGTTTCATATCAAACTCCTACGGCACCATTAAATCGTAGTCGTCCACTTAAACCCATCCATAAGCCTCCTAAAAAACTAATGAAAGATCAAACAGACAACATTTCGTTCCATCTTTGTCAAATTGTCAAAAAATATGGGGATTTCAAGTATCCCCCTAAATATTCATCTTATAAATAAACATATCTTATGTTCATGACTCACCTTCTTCGTTGAGTTTCTTCAACAATTGTGCCTTAGTAGGTAGGGCATACATCCCTGCAGCAACAACTTTTCTGATTGCCCAACCATGATGGGGAGCAAATACCTGTGCATATGCCTTGGAAGCTGGATCCTTAAGGGAATTGCCCCTGCCACATGAGCATTGGTACCTGTTATTCCATGCATAAATAACTACGCATGCACCTTAAGCACAATATAGAAGCACCTACTTTGAAGCTTAAACTGGAATCTCATTGCTAGTTCAACAAATAGTCCACTTAGGCAGATATATTCAAAGCCAATGCCTTTGGCAAATAGTTCGTGGAAGAGGGCTATTAGCTCTCTTTGCTCATAGGAACTAACTAAGAACCAGCTACATATTCCAAATCAAAAATTGGGTGACTCTTGAGCTTTATTTTCTCCATTTTATTACAGTGGCGGAAAATAAATCAGAAACATTCAAATTAATTCAAAATAAATCACTCACTAAAATTAAAACCACAGTTGAGTTTCTGCAACTACACTGAAAAAGTATATGAAGTCTACTTCTTCAAATACCAAATACATGTAATATTACTCATCTTATACAACAACCATGTTACACGTAATGGGTAAGACAAAACCGAAAGCTAATACCATTACTGAATTCCTTGTGCCAATTTGATCAAATTTCTTGCATCAGGCAAATTATACCGAAACGCAAAGAAAGCGAGGGCCAATTAGTTTCTAGCATCCCAAATTGTAAGAACAATGATTATTCACTTCAAAACTTTCAGCTCAACAATTTGGCGTATTTTCTCTCCAAAATCTAATCATCATTCTAGCTGTTAATAATTCAATGAATGTCTTCAAATTCAACTCAACCAAAGAAAACAATCTTGGAAGCCAATACCCAATTGTGCCAAACCACATATTACTTGAATCGACTGTGTCAATTGTGGAAAATTAATTTTCCAAGAAACTCAAATTGACTACAATGTACTGCATGTGCTGAATCTACAAATTAACGAAGTAAAGCAAAGAACAAAAGGAGAAAAAAAAATTGCGGATAAAGGATAATACATACTCTGCAATGAGTATTTGCTCGAAGAGCTCCCTAACCATGTCAAGCCCACGCTTCACTCTCAACAAATTTCTCGAATGACTACCAGCATTCCTTACGCAATTCGATGCCATATCGCGATCGAGCAAAGCCTGTAAGGTCGCAATAGACTTCGACGCCTCCGAGAGATCGTTCACCTGAGATCATTCCGATTTTGGTCAAAGTTAAGCAAACGAATTTTTTTCTTCAATCGGATTATTCGCAGATTTTCCCGGGAAAATGCAATAGGCGGTGGGGGAAAAAAAAAGGTACCTTCGAGACATAGTCCATCTCGGCGAACTTAAAAGCGATGCCGAGGCAGCCGAAAAGCGGGGAGACGAGAGAGCACGCGCGAGAGAATGACTCAACCTCGACGTCCGGTGTTTTGGAATTCACGGCGGTGGCGAGATCTTTGAACGCCTCCGATATTTTCCTCAGCGGTTTATCGTCCGCCATTGATGAAGCTTCTCTCTCTCTCTCTCGTATCTGAATATCGTTGTTTTATGCTTTTCTTTTTCTGGTCAATTTTGTCCCAGGAATGTTCTGTGAAGTGGAAACAAACACGGCTTAATTGGAGAGAAATTTGCACGGCTAAAATAAGTGACATTTGGTTTTTTTTTTTTTTAATTTTGATTTAACGAACCACAAATTCTTAAAACTGGGACAATTAAGGGTGTGTTGGCTTTTCAAAAAAAAAAAAATGCAACTCGAGTTCTAATTTTATTTAAGTTCATGTTTTTTTAAGTTTGAACTCGAGTTTGAACTCGAGTTTAAGACTAAAACTCGAGTTCAAGTGTCCCCTTTAACTCGAGTTCAGAAAATCGAACTCAAATTAATAAACAGTATTTTTTCTATTCTTAAAAATGCTATAACATTTTCGTTTTAATCCTAATTGAGATGATTTTTTTCTATGCGTTGACAACGAAAAGATAAATAAAACCCCACCTATATACCCTATTAAAATTTTTCATCACCATTGAGTTTTTATTAAAATATTATCTAAATACAAATTTAAGTTTTGACTCACTCAAATACAAACTCAAAAAAAAAGATTTTTATCTCAAACCATAACTCAAATGTACACAACTAAACACAAACTCAAATTACAACTTCAACTCAAATTATAACTTAAATTTAATTTAAAAACTACACTCAAATCAACTCTAAAAGAACAAGCCCGCCATTTTTATCAAAATTCAAGCTTTAAACAGATTACATCATGCGCACACGTGCTCCAATATGAGAGGGTATGTTAGTAAAATAACATTATTCATAATCTAACAAAAAATCAAAATTAAGAAATTCTCAAAGAAGAATAAAAACCTAAAAGAAATATCAACATCTCAAAATTCCTTATCAAAACAAATCAGGGGAAAACAAGTATAATTGATCCAAAACAAAGCAAATCTAAAAAAAAAAAAAAATCGTCCAAACCCATCTTAGATCAAAACTTATATGAGCACTTCACACATTCTGTTCAAGCTACAAAAATGCCTATTTATGGTATAAACTTAATCACAAAACTATAAACTATTTTCCCCACCCTGTTATCTCGGGTTTATCCTGAAGCATAAACATCAATTTTGACGTCTCTTACGTTGGTATCTCATAGCTCAAAATTGATGGCTTGTTCTTTTAAAGTTTAATTTGAGTATAATTTTTGAGTTAAATTTGAATTATAACTTGAGTTAAACTTGTAACTTGAGTTTGTGTTTGGTTGTGTACATTTGAGTTATGGTTTGAGATAAGAATCTTTTTAAGTTTATGTTTGAGTGAGTCAAAACTTGAATTTGTATTTAGATAGTATTTTAATAAAAACTGAATGCTGATGAAAAATTTTAATATGGTATATGGGTCTTGTTTTATTCATCTTTTCGTTGTCAACGCATAGAAAAAAATCATCTCAATCAGAATTAAAACAAAAAAGTTATAGCATTTTTAAGAATAGAAAAAATATTGTTCATTAATTTGAGTTCGAGTTTCTGAACTCGAGTTGAAGGAGAAACTTGAACTCGAGTTTTAGTCCTAAACTCGAGTTTGAACTCGAGTTTAAACTTAAAAGAACATAAACTCGAATAAAGTTATAACTCGAGTTGCTTTTTTTTTAGTTTTTCACTCAAAAGAAAAGCCCTGAGAATCTTGGCTCATGGTATCTTAGCCAAGAAACATATATAAGGTTGTCAATCCATAAGCTGAAACGAGACAAATATCATTTAAAAATATGAATTAAGATTTTTACTCATTATTTTTAATTAATAATTTTTTTAATTAAATAATTATATTAATAAAATGATATTAATTAAAAATAAAGATAAAAATTCAGAGCCATACACTTTTAAAAATAAATACTATATTAAATAAATGCTCAAGTTTATACTAACTTTCTGATTCATAAATGCCTACACAAAACGTAAACAGTCAATTGTTTCAATCCGACCAACCTATTTTGTAACTGGCTTATAATTGGTCTGTGTTGGGTACAAAATAAAATAAAATACAAGTATGCATGATTTCTTTTGGGCCATTTTCACAAAAATTGTGTCCAATACATCGGACTTGTTCTTTTGAGTGAAAAACTTAAAAAAAGTAACTCGAGTTACAACTTTATTCGAGTTCATGTTCTTTTAAGTTTAAATTCGAGTTCAAATTTGAGTTTAGGACTAAAACTCGAGTTCAAGTTTCCCCTTCAACTCAAGTTCAGAAACTCGAACTCAAATTAATTAACAGTATTTTTTCTATTCTTAAAAATACTATAACTTTTTCGTTTTAATTCTGATTGAGATGATTTTTTTTCTATGCGTTGACAACGAAAAGACGAATAAAATCCGACCCATATACCCTGTTAAAATTTTTCATAAGCATTGAGTTTTTATTAAAATACTATATAAATACAAATTTAAATTTTGACTCACTCAAATACAAACTCAAAAAGATTCTTATCTCAAATCAAAACTTAAATGTTTTTAGCCGACAACCTCAACAACAGGAGGATGGCTACAACCCACTATGTGTTCACAACAATTACTCACTCTATGGCGAGAAACAACGTCTTGAATGCAGCCTTTGATATAAAAAAAAAAAAAGAAAAAAAAATTGTTTTAATAAAAGTAGTGAGAAAAAAAATCAAAATACATCGTTAAAAGATTAAGCTGTAGAGTAGCATTTGGGAAAAATAAAGTAAAAATGAAAAAAAAAAAAAGCAAACAAAATTTTGTAAGGACAAATGTAAAAATATATATTTTAATAAAACCAAAGCAAGAAAAAATCAAAAAATTTGTTTTTTTTAATAAAAAATTGTTTTAATAAAAGCAAAGCCAATGAAAAAATCAAAATACATCGTGAAAAGATTAAACTGTAGTGTAGCATTTGGCAAAAAAAACAACAACAAAAAAAAGCAAACAAAATTTTTTAAGGACAAATGTAAAATATATATATATTTTAATAAAACCAAAGCAGAAAAAATCAAAAAATTTGCCTTTTTAATAAAAAATTGTTTTAATAAAAGCAAAGCCAGGGAAAAAATTAAAATATATCGTGAAAAGATTAAACTGTAGTGTAGCATTTGGCAAAAAAAAAAAACAAAAAGAAAAGCAAACAAAATTTTTTAAGGACAAATGTAAAAGAAAAAAATTAATTAAAGCAAAATGAGAAAAAAAAAATCAAAATACGTCATGAAAATATTAAACTATAGAGTAGCGTTTGGAGAAAGGAAAAAAAAAAAAGAAGCAAATGTTAAACAAAAAAGGAAAAAGTAAATAGATTTAGGAGTCCTTTGGCATTGCTTTTAGAAGCTGCTTTTAACTTTTTTAAAGAAGCTGTAACAGGTTAGAATGTTTGGTAAATCATGTTTTTGTCTAATAGCTTTTAAAAACTGCTGTCAAACAACATAATTGGAGAAGCTAGTCAGAGATTGCTTTTGCGTAAGAACTTCTGCTGCTATTATCTAAATTTACTAAGATAACCTAAATAATAAAACTTAATTCTTTAATATACCTATTTTACTTTTTTCATACCAAATTAAAAAATATATTTTTAAATTAGTTATTTAATAATTAAATTTTTTTAATAAGTATGCTATGCTAAATTTTATTTAAATATTTATAATAATTATAAAAATATTTAAAATTAACAATAATAAATATTAGTAGATGAATATTTTTTCTCCTTGAATAAAATAATTTATTTTTAAGAACTATTTTAATTAATAAAATTTAATATATAAATATTTTTATACTATGAATATTGACTGAAAAAGTAGAAATAAAACAAATATAAACATGTGTGATAAAGTATGTTTATTTTCATGATTATACATTTCAATAGCAATTTTATACACATTTTATCAAACACGTAAATTCATACTTCTGGTACTCACAGCAGCTTTGTAAAAATATTTACTAAAAACTTATATGTTTCTGGTCATAACAACTTATTACTAACAGCACAACAAGAGTAAATATTTTCAATAGCACAACAATACTAAACTAGTCCTTAGTCCAAAAGCTACTTTTAAGATTGTTTAGATAGATAACATGAAAGTGCTTTTAGCTTTTTTGAGACAAGCCGCCTCCTAAGTGCATATGAAAAAAGAACTTATGAAAAAAAAGTTATTTACATTTTTAATCTTTTATTTGTGAATAAAAAATTAAGAAATTCATTCATATCTTTGTATTACATTACTTTTAGTAATAATAAGAACTTTTAATTTATTTACTAAACATGTTCAAAAACCCTCATAAAATAAAAAAGTACTTTTTATACACTCTCAACACCAAAAGAAAAAAAAAGTACTTTTTATACACACTCAACACCAAAAGAAAGAAAGAAAAAAAAAAGATGAAAATGACATATGGCGAAATAGGGAGCACTCTCAAAGCCTCTTTTGGCTATAGATATAGATAATTAGATTTTTGCAATGTTATGTAGTCCTTAATTTCCTAACAGGGTACAGCTTGTGCAAACTGCAAACTCAAAGAAAGGTCAAAAAAACATTAGAGAAATTAGGAAGCTGAGTAGGGTCCCCAAGGTATCATTCATTACATTAAAGATGTTATTTCTTAATTCTTGTACTCCATTGTGGCACTTGTACTTTTGTGTGCTTTGTGTATCTCTTAGAGTTTGTTTGAAACATATATTCAAGTCATGATTTAGGTTAATTGGCGGGAACTTTGTGAGAGTGAAAATTTTGAAATTCAAATTTTTCATAAGATAAAAAACATTATAGTTGAATCCAAAAATTAGGTTTGAATATATGTCCCAAACAAGTTCTTAGATAATTCTCTTAATTATTGTGTATATATATATATAATGAGATGCAAGGCATGGAAAAAAAATACATGTATAGTAAGCGCTTAGCCATGGTTGATGTAATGATCTTGGAACAAGACGTGTGCTTATACCTCTCGTTCAATTAACATCCCGTGTTTTAGGTCCTATTATTTGTCTTCCGTTCAGGTCATTAAGAGCAAACTGTATCCTGCTTACTGATATTGGAAGCAGATTACTTAGATTTCATAAGTCACTTGATTTTTGTTATATGTTAATTTAATCAATTCAAATATTAATGAAGTTTTTAA